CCGCGAGTCGGGCCCGGTGGCGTCACGGCCCAGGTACCTGCCCCCGCCCCGGGCGTCAGCAGCGCAGCCAGTCAGCGTGTCCGTTGCCGTGGCAACGCCGCGGCCCTGGGCCCGCTCCCGGGGAGCAGGAAGCGCCGGCCCGGCCCTGTCCGGCGGCTCTGACACCACACGGGCCACCGGTTCCTCACCCCGCCGGGCCGCGGCCTGAGCCCGACGCCGCAGGTAGGAGCGGAGACCCGGCGCCCGCTGTGTCAGAGCCCGGCTGGGGTCTTCCACTGCGCCCATCGCCGTAGCGTCTGGGCGTGAGGGGCGTGGGGTCCTCCCGCAAGCTGAGACCCCCCCCCGTCCTGGGGTCGGTGCCTCTGAGCCCCAAGGGATCAATCCCCCCCCCGTCCTGGGATCGGTGCCTCTGAGCCGCAAAGGTTGAGACCCCGCCCCCCCATTCTGGAGTCGGTGTTTCTGATCCCCAAGGGGTGAGAGATCCCCCCACGCCTCCCCCTGGGTTGGTGCCTCTGAGCCCTAGATTCCCCCCCCCCCATCCCCATGTCTCTAGCCCCCAGCTGAGCTCTCCGGGCGTTCACTGCTCCGGCTCCGGTCCCGAGAGCTACGCCCCAGGCAGGATTCTGGCTGCTCAGGCCCCTGTCTCCTGGGCCAGGCTGAGGGTGTCTTGGTGCTCAGGGGTGTCCTTGCTCTGATGCTGTTCGCCCGACGTGGGGGAGGCTGGGAGCATACAGAGCTCTCAAGTATCCAGCGTCTCCTGCACTAAACCCTGATTGACCCACAGAAACTCTCTGTGGCGGGCACCATCCTGTGCCAGCCTGCCAGGGTGAGGTTCTGGGAAGAGCAAATACCTGGATCATTTGTTTGAGCCCCCCTGGAGGTTTTGAACTCATAGCACTAAGCGTGGGGGAAAACGAATGCTTAATAGTGGAAAGATTTTTGGGGTAGGGTCTGGAGGCCCCAACATGCAAGGAGTAATTGGGCACAGGATGGGGGCTCCTGTGTAGGGGGGTAGCTGGCATGCCAGTGCTTAGGCTTCTAACGGGCCAGGGGATTCAGGCTGGCATGGCCAGAGACGCTCCACACCCAGAAGAGGCGCATAGCCAATCCCGACCCCATGAATGCATTAGTGGGGGAAATGCATTCGGCAGCTGCATTAAGGCTGATGGCACAAGTGGGGTGCAGTTCAGTGCCCCGCTTTCAGATGCCACGGCACAGCGCCACGTCTAGTCTGTCTGAACAGTGCCGCCGGGGAGTGATGGACTGGTAGGAACTGTGTGAGACTTGGCCTTTTGCGGTCGTTCTAGTGAAGCTGGGCTCTGTGCCTTAGTTCCTGTGGGTTTGCAGTGCACCTCTTGTTCTGTTCTGGGTTTGAACAGGCGTGTCTGTGGGAAGGAGGGGAAAGGTGGGGCCAGTGTTTTAGCAGAGAGGATCCACTGCCTCTCACTTGCCTTTCTCAAGGCGTGGTGCTGTCCTGTAACCTGCTCCCTCCCTCCTGAATGTGTCTGGCTTTACAAGGGCCGGTCCTGTGCCAAAAAAAATGAGTGTTTTGCACCTGCTAGCGGAACGGGATTGGTCCCTCAGTTGACTGATGGCAGGCCTTTTCTCTCTGCTCCGTTTCCTGGTCAGCAGATGGACCCTTCTGTCAGTCAGTGCTGAAGCTGTGAGATGTCTGAGAGATGCATTTAGTCATATGATGGGACAAGAGGGCAGGGACCTTTAGACAGGACCTTAAGCCAGGTACCACCCACACTGTCCTTTGTATTCTCTTATCCAGCTGCCTTTATGCTTCCATTTGTTGGCAATAATTTCATTATTGCATCACAAGCACTTGAAGAAACTGAAGAGCGGAGAATGTTTCCCCAGGCAGACTGGATTGTTTCTCTCTTTTCTGCAGAGTTTCTACAAGCCTGTAACAATTGCCCCAAAACTGTTTATTTAGCAAACTTTAAATAGCCTTCTTTTCTCTTAACCTCCCTTCCCTTGGGTTTGGTTGGGGAGTTTATTGACACTTGGTTCTTGAAAAGATTCACATTCCCGTATAGATTTCTTATTTCCATAAGATATGCTAGGCAGACCTCACTTCCAGGTGGGGGTGCCCCAAGTAACTGGACTTTTCCATCAGCCACCACTCACAGGGTTCTATAAGATCAAACCAAATGAGGTCCAACTTGGAAAATGATCTGAAACACGTGTTCAGTGTGAGAGAAATACCCAGGCAGCTGTAATGAAGAACTAGATCTAGGGGCAAGAGTGGGCAGTATGTTAGACAGGAGTTTGCAATGGGATGTGTAATTCTGGACTGCAGATAGCACAGTGGTTAGGGCACTAGCCCAGGACCCTGCTCTGTCACATACTTCTGGTGTGACCTTGGGCATGTCATTTAGTGCCTCTGTGCCTCAGTTCCCAATCTGTAAAGCTGAGGATAAGAGCACTTCCCTATCGCCTAGGGATGTGTGAGGATTAACTGCATTAAAGATTGTGGGCACTCGTATGCTGTGGTAATGGGGGGCAGATAAATTCCTAAAAGAGACACTGCATTCACAGAGCAGGGAGGTAAGAGTTCTTCTCTGCAAGGTGCACCCCCACCTAGAATATTGCATTCTGCTTTGGGCACTGAGTTACCAGAACAGTATTGACACTGGAGGGCGTTCAGAGAACAGCAACTGACCTGACCTGAAGGGTTTGATTTATAAGGAAATTTTTAGCCATGGGCTAGAGTTTCCAGGGCTCAGCCTCTACACTCAGGACTGAATTTCCAGACGTGCTGGTCCCTTGTTTGCTGACTTAGTTGTCCGATCTGTAAAAGTGCCCAGCACCCACTGTGCCACATACGGCTAGGAGGTTTTAACAACAACTCAGCACCCAGCGTGCATCTGATGTATGAGCTCTTGTGAAAATCTAGCTGTAAAAATTCCAGCTGGGTGTTGTATAGCTTGGTTAGTGATGACTAAGGAAGGATATAACACTCTGCAAATATTTGCAGACTGTTAAGGCCAAGGAGGGAGGGAATTGCTTTGTGTAGTAACCTGAGGTTTAGCTAGAAGTAATAGGATGAAATCAAGGAAAAGCGTAGGCTGAATATTGGGGTATAACAAGCTCCAGCGTGTGAGCTGTATTTGACTGTGCAACAGTCTTCAACTGAAAAGGATGAAGCCCCATTATTGGGTCTTTAAAAACTAGACAAGGGATTAGAAGATGCCCCGGAGAGACCAATCCTGCACTGACTCCTGCAGATAGACTGGACAGTCAGATAGCGTTATTCTACCTCGAACTTTCTGATTCTGTTAAATTACCAGCTGTAAAAACGCTTTTTAGAATGGTTGCATTGGTGGTTTTTTTGGGTCAGATGCTTTATTTCAAGGCTCCGACAGGACGTGTGTCTCACTTGTTTCCTGTGTCCATGGGGGGATTGCTTCAGTGGCTAAATGCCTGGGAGCTGAGAATTGGCACTAATATCTCCTGCTCCTGTTTGCAGTGTCAAGGCAACTGCCTTGTGAAGCGGAATGGGTTAACTGCTTCTGGGCATCTGTTTCCCAGCATGCATAGCTTCATTGGGGATCTTGCTTCAGGTGTTACCAGTTTAGCTGAGGCTGATTGTCAGGAGGTGATTAACCTAGCCTGAAACATCAGGCACAGCTGAGAGCACTGGGTGAGCAGCTGTCACTTGGCAGATGATACTGAATCGCAGAGAGGCTGTTCTCGCTGCTGTTCGAGACTGAAGTGGGGTGTGGACTGACTGTCTAGGAGTCCAGGTGAGTCTTATTCTGACTAGTTTAGCACTGACTCTGTAGGCTTTAATTTTGGGAGTGCGGGGTGGGGCTCTGACTAGCAGCACTGGCCAGCCCCCGTAGCAGGGCTACCTCTATGGGATCTTGATACTGAGCTTTTGTGACTTGTGACTGATCTGTATTTTCCAGCAGAAGTGTATTTATTTGGGGTGGAGTACGTCCACCCATTAGACTGTGGGGGAGAGGTAGCAGCTCCAGATGCATGTCTTGGTTTTTCTTTTAAGTTATGGTCCCCTCCTAGTTTCTATCCTCACCTGGTGCCTTGTGCGTCCCATTGGGAGCTGCTTGAGCTGTTCAATGGAAGCAAACAGCAGCTGAGTGATAGAAGGATTGGGGGGACTGGGGTGAGGGGGCCCTGGCTTGGACGTGAGAAGAGCTGGCGTTTAAATCCTTAGTGCTGCAGTGACAGAGGGTCTGACCTGCACTGGGTGTTTCCATTGCTGGTTAGGTGGGTGGGGATGGAGAGAGACTCTCTTATTGCTTATGGCATCAATTAAGGATAAGATTGTCACAGTCACAGATTCTGTGACTTTCAGAGACCTCCGTGACATTTTCTGCTTCAGCCCCAAGGTGGCAGGGCCAGAGCGGTCAGCCGGCAGTGGCCCCAGGGCCCTCAGCTGCCTGCAGTGGGGCTCGTGCTCCTCCCGCACCCCATGGGGTTTGGGCTTCAATCCTCCCCCATCGGTCTCTCCCCCCATAATTTTTGTAAAAGTCACGGACTGGTCACGGGCTTCTGTGAATTTTTGTTTATTGCCCGTGACTTTTACTAAAAAGAATGCTGACAAAATCTTAACCTTTGCAATAATATTGTGAAGGGTTTTTTCCCTCCTCAATAGAAAACGTCCCTGTGATACCGGTTCGAGGGGACCCTGAACAGAAGAGAACACATGTCTCTGTTCTCCCCTCATGCTATCAAGTTAGTCTTCGTCTGGATTGAGCTCTGTTTCAGGGTAGCTGTTCTGATGCCCTGGCCCTACAGCAGGTTATGTTTCTCCAGGCATGAAGAGCAGATGGGTAGTTAAGTCAGAGTGACCTTTATTTTAGATTTAGAGAACAAAAGCAACGTCTACATCAGAGCAGATGATGAGTGTTTCCTTCCTCTGTGACAGTCTGTCCAGCTATTGTGTGGTCAGCTGTTCTCTGAAGACCAGGAATCCCTTAGCTGGTAAGGGCCAGATTTCCACATCACAGCACCCACAACTAGGACCATGTTCTAAAAGGGCTCAGCCCCCATTGACACCGATGGCCTGTTTGCTCCGCAGCCAGCATGCTGAGTAATCCCGTAAATCGGGACGCTTCTAATGGGACCTAGATAGGAGCTGAGGTCTTCGGAAAATCTGGTTGTTAAGGGGCAGAACACAGAATATCAAGTCAAAACAGTTATAGCTGGATCCACCTCCAGGCTGCCTCATTAGCGTCTAAGCCAGCCTC